CCTCAGCCTCCCAGAGTGCTAGGATTACAGGCGTGAGCCACTGATTCATTATTTTTTAATAACAACTTTATTGAGATATAATTTATATATACCAAAAAATTCACCATTTTAAATAAAGTATACAATCTAGTGATTTTTAGTATATTCACAGAATTGTACAACTATCTGATTCATTAACTTTTTACTTTTGCTTTATTATCTTTTCTGCTTTCTTTGAGGTTGAAGCTTTTGTTCCTATTCTCACTTCTTGGGCTAATACTTAATTGCTATTCATTTTAAAATAATGACATAATTTTTGACTGTGCATTTACCCCCTTAATATAGCTTTGGCCACATCCAATAGATTTTGTTATGTACTGTACTCAGTTTTGATAGTATTTTAAATTAGTCTATATAGAAAAGCTTAGTGTAGAAGTATAAAAAAATAGAAAAGCTTAAAGAAAAATTTTTAATCACCTCTAATCAAAATATAAATACTGTTTATACTGCCCCTGTTTCATATAGTGGTTTTTTGAAGGCTTGATTTTTTAAAACAGTTTTAGGTTCAGAACAAAACTGAGTGGAAAGTACAGAAATATCCTTTATACTCCTTGCCCCCACACATGTAGAGCCTCTGTCATCATCAGCATCCTCAACCAGAGTGGCACATTTTGTTACAATTGATGAACCTATATTGACACATCATAATCATAGTTTTCATGTGGAGACATGCTTGTGGGTTTCATAGTAAATTATTTTTAGAGATAGACTTTTGCTCTTCAGAATAACCTCCATGACCCTTGTGGTACATTATTTTTTTCATAGAAATCAGGTTGTTGTTCTTCCATTAACTCATTCTCATATTGGGAGATATCTCTAGAGCTCTGTAGTCAAATGGCAGGGATGTGTAGGTTGCTTTTGGCTCCACTCCCTGTCCATCTTCTGGAATTCCTTTCTCCGAGCTGTAGTTTCCGATGTGGCACCTGTTAGGTGCATAATTCGTGCCAGTATGCAAGGCTGACACTGGACCTTCCTGTACCCCCTCTGCTTAAAACTGCTCTCTCCAGCATGCCCTGCTGCCAGGGTTCTTCCCTCCCCATCTTTACCTGCCGTGCTTTGGGGTGTGTACTTCCCCGGATGCACAGGACTCCCTCTACTGTCTGCTGCTCTGTTATTTGGGAGCTAAAGCTTTGAACTGTATTTGAAAGATGAGAATGAGGAATCATATTGAGTGTTTCTTGTAAAGCAGCATCTGTAAAACAGGGACAGCTTCTAGTCTTCCGGTTGGTGAAGCCCAGAGTCTGATCCAGTGGTTTAAAAATGTGGGAGCTTCTCTTCTTTGTTTAGGTGGGCAGAGCTATTCTTCCTTTGAGATCTTTCATAAGGCAAAGCACAGGTAGTCCTGTCTTTGTTAGGCTGACTCTGTACCTTAGAGTTGCTAAACATCTCTTCCTAGATTCTGACAGTAGACTGTGTGTTAGTCTAGGCAGTGTTTAGTATTTGTCATTTTTTGTACATTTTTATATTTGTGTAATATGAAGTTAGGAGAGGCTATGTCAGGAGCTGCTAGCCATATGTCTTTTTCTTTTTAAGTGATTGAAATGCTCTAAGTGTCTCTTTTCTATTTAAGCTGACATATTTTTAGTCTACTGGCCACACCTTTCAAATGTATTACAGGTTTGTTTTTTGTCTCCTGAAGTTTTGTTCTCTTGTGCACAGTCATCATGCTTATGTCTAAATATTCCAGGTGATAAATTACGCAATTTATCTCTTGGCAAATGTCTTTCAGAGCTAAGGTTTTTGGTGCAATCTCCTTGGCACCTCAGACACAGATGATATATCTTGATTAATATACAAATCACCTGAAATAGTCATCCACTAATAAGGGAGGGGTTCCAACAGTTATTTATATGACAAACTTAGTTCTCTCTGGTGTAACTACTAAAACTAAATACATTACCTGCCTATGGAAACATGAAGGAGGCGTATGTCTTTGCTGCCCTTGCTTTGGCAGCCTCTGCTTGGTGCAGTTCTGGTAAGTTCAGATCTTGGCACTATGCTCAGCTTTTATGTTGGTTTATATATTAATTAATTAGTTAGATAAAGAAGAAAATGTGGAGGTAGTATTACCCAGTGCATAAAATAGCAAGCTCTGGAGTCAGACTGCCTCGATATAATCTTGAATTGTGTTTATTTTATTAAACAAATTGAAATACTTTCTAGAACAAAGCAAGTTAAAAATTTAAAAAAGGGAAACTAATTTTTATATATTTTGTATCTGGTTACTGTCATGAGCTTTCTTTGTTGTTTTTAAAGATTTCTAATAGTTTCTGATAAAGAAACAGAAAGCATAGGATTTGGAGTAAAACAGATATGAGTTCAAATTTTGTGCTTGCCACTTATATCTGTAACTTGGGCAAATCACTTCAGCTCTCTGAAACAGTTTTCTCATCTCTTACCTTCTTTATGTAAATATTGTGAGGAGTAGTGTGATACTACATCATACTGTGCACTTGATACATTAAGCTCCCTATAAATATTAGTTGCTGTAATTTATCATTAACTATCTTGAACTTTCTAAGCGGCCAAACTTCTTGTCTGCATATAATAATGTCTTTCTAGGATTATTTCTGGCGTGTTGTAATATACTGACTTGAACTTCCAGGTTCATTGAAAATACTTATTTTATTTTAGGTATCCTTATTTTATTCTTAATTTTAATGAGAAAATCTTTAGATTTTACCATAGTAGGGTGTCAATGCTGGTGTAAGATAGACTTTTTTTTTAAACCATGGAAGTTAGATTGATGTCTATATCTTTGAGTATAATAAATTTTATGTTTTGAATATGGTAAATAAATCAGGTAACTTTGTTTTTCTATAATCTTTTCTTTGCAGGTTTGAAATAGCTCACCTGATAAATCATTTGGGTCTTTTCTGAAATTATTTCTTTGAAAACTTTTATTTTCTCATTCACTTTTTTTTTTTTTTTTTTTTTGAGACAGAGTCTCACTCTTGAGCCCGGGCTAGAGTAAGTGCCGTGGCGTCAGTCCAGCTCACAGCAACCTCACA